CTAGATGAAGGCAAAATAAATATGTCATCAAGTATATTTAAGAGAATAAGAAGATATTGAAAGAGTCTCAAGTTATCTATTTTAATAAAGCATTCTAATAAGTTATCTTTGATTGTTTAAATGATATTCAATATTTTAAATATATAAGTAAGACATTTCTAAAAATGTGATAAAATTTTAGTAGTAATACAATAGCCTACACAATACTAATATTTATAAAAGTCAAGATATAGCAGAATAGGTCTAAAAAGTGTTAGAAATTCATTGACTAAATTTTTTATAATGAAAGTTTTGAGTTTAAAGAAAGTAAATAAGATAAAGTGAGAAAGTAAATTCATAAATAACAGAGATTAAATAGCAAACTAATCAATGGATTGATTGCTAATAAGGAGTTTAAGGTGATAATTTCTACCTAAATTAAAGAAATTATCAAAATTTTATGTAGAAAACATTGTTTGAGAAAATTACGAATAAATAGTTCTATAGGAATATTATTAAATAATATGTGAAAATAAAAAAGTAGTCTATTATTCAATATTAGAGATATAAGAAGGTCTTGCATCTAGATTTAGTTAATTAATCTGTAATTTTATTATAGTAATCACTAGTATAAGCTTTAATTTTATGCAAATAAATATAAAGATTTAAGAAGTTAACAATGAACTTGATAAGTTTTCAAAGGTTATGATTAGATACTTTTTTAAATTTTCTAGGTAAAAGACAATTCTAAAGAACATATTTATTAAATCTGTAGATCATTGCTTAGTTATCTAAGTAGACATATACTGTGACAGATTTAGAAGACAATAAATGCAGTAAGGAATAAGCATCTTATCATAAGTTAATAAAAACCTATTTTCTATAGAAGCATTGAATGTTTGATAGCTATTAGAAGTATCAATATAAATCTATTCAAGATTCATTTTACAATTCTCATCTCGAGGTGATTTTAGTAAACCATTAGAGTAAATAGTTAAAGAAACATTTTAGTAAGAGTTAGCTGTATATTTTTGAGGGTGAAAGTATGAACAAAAGGTTTAATCAATTGATCAATAATATTAGGTAATATTAGTAAAGATAATTATAAAGAAATCTGAAAAATATAGTAAGTAAGATAAGCAACTCTAAATAGTTTTATATAGGAATGCTAATATTATGATTATGACTGGTCATAACTGCGACTGATATCAGTCAGTCAAAGGCTTCTAACCAATCAGTCCATAGGTTAAAAGCTGTCAAACTGATAATAATGCCAATTTGAGTATATTTGTCTATCTGAACCCTCAATTTGTAAAATAAAAAGCAATTAGCCTGCTTCATAAATAGGTGAAAATCTTTTGATTAATGTTTATTGTTAATATTAAAATTTTCAATTTATACATTTAATCATATTAAAATTCTGATTGTTGTTTTAATAGAAATTTTACTTTATATATATGTTGAATAGATAATATTATTTTAAAAAAATAATATAATTTACCAATTTAATACAAATATGATATTATTTTTAAATATAAAATTATCTTTCAATTGAAATAACAGCTATATGTGTAACTAGCTTTCTTTTACTTATTTTGAACTTACTAAGTATAAATTGCTAAATATATTGTGCATTGGTATGATATAGTCCTTACTTATATCATAAATTCTTTTCTCCAGACTTCTATATTACAGCTTTTAATATCATTATCAATCTGACAATAAATCTTATTTGGTGAAATGAAACTAACAAAAAACATTTCATATATGTTAATTGATGAATTTATTTCTTCTTAGGTAAATTAACTTTATATTCGAAGAAGTATTGAATTTGATTGGGATGATATTCAACTGAATTATTATCTTGCATGAATTTGGCAAGGATGAATGAGCTCTTTAAATATTAAGACGTATTTGCTGATCTGAAGATTTTATCTTTAATTTAGATATGTCTAAACTGATTAATTTGAGGCTGAATAATAATAAATCTGTGATCAGAGTGTCTAATAGTTCTTTAAATTACTTCCATAATAGATAAAAATTTTAGATTGTAAGTAGCATTATAATATTTCACTAGTATATTATATATATCATCCAGTAAACTAACATTTTTTTTGTAAGTAACATTTTATCAGAAAAAGGTTCAATGCTGGTAATTGCATCTTCAATCTCAAACTGATAAATCTGCCTAAAATAATAAAGTTTAGCAAACTAAAAACTATTATAGGCTGCTAAAATTTCTGATGTTACCTGTGATTAGATCAATTCTAGTCCTTCAATTAGCTTCACATTATCTGATTGAGCTGATAAAAGGTTATTAAATTACCAATTTTGTATGATAATTTGTAATAATTCTGGCTCAATTTAACGATGACCATTTGGAAAGGAGCCTAAAGATAATGAATAATAATTATCTGTAAATATATAAAATTTTATTATTTTAATAATCAGCATATAATTTATTCAAAATACCATTTATTTGCTCAAATGAGTAACACCAGAAGGAGTATAATAGATTGTAATCTTAGTAATATTTGACTAAATGAAGAGATAAGTGAATGTTTAGAGTAATTACCTCTAGATCATATTGCTCTTCAATAAGTTAAGCAACTTTAGCAATCTAGTTTGAGATTCTTCTAATGCATTATTATTGATAATACGTAAAATTAGTAAGATGCAAGCCCTAACAAAATTCATCAGGATTTTTCAGTTGAATTTTGAAAGTAAATCCTATATCAATAGAATCACATAAATTAAAATAAATGATTTCTATTGATCCACTATGTTAGAAAATCCTTCATCAGTTACTATTTTGTGTGAAATTCTTCCAAGATCAGCTAGCATCTTAATATTTTTTACATATTTTTCTATTAGTTTGAGATGAGATTTTAAAATTATTCTATTATTAATCCCTAATCTATTCACTATCCAGTAAGCAATACCTAAAAATAGATTGTGCATCAGGTCAACAATTAAATGTCTTATCAGATTATGATAAGGGAGGTGTAACAGCTTAAACTATCTAATATAAGCTCTACTGATATATTATTTTCTATCATCTTTCATCTGCATATGCTTTTAAATAATAGTATTTAATCAATGTTCTACTGTATCTCTTGTTATAAACCAATGTTTATATCTTTAAATTTACTAAAATTTGGTCTCTGGCCTTCTTTACTACTTGCTTTTTTACAGTATCTGTAATATCTAACCAGTGCTAAAATATGACTGCATAATTTTTTTGCTATAAAAATGTTATTACTGTAACAAATTACAGCAATTCAGACTTTTCTATTAGCAGGATATTTGTTAATAGCTGATAAATAAACTATATTATAAAATTTCAGCAATTCATCTACAATTAGAGTGAAAAAGTAATTTATTTAATATAATTTAATTTCGCTTAAACCCAATAAAAGGCTAAGAGTTAGCATATTTTTCTTTTTAAATCAAAAGTCTTAGGAAAAATTACAAATTACACTATATATTATGTTAGTATTATATAGAGCTAAATTAAATGATTGGAATTAATTCAAGTTTATCATTATACTCAGATTTGAATCAGTAGTTTTGGTCATAAAAAATCAGAATTGATTTAAATTATTAGTATTATATGAGAAAGTTTGTTATATTTTACTATCATAAATATTAGTCATTAAATCATTTTCATTATTCTGATTGGCCCATTTTTTTAAAAGTTCTTTAAAACCTAATCTTTGATATATCATTGATATTTGATTTTTAGATATAGTAATAAATATAATATCTTTAGTCATCATTTGTATCTATTATTAACTGGAACATTCACTAGCAATTCTGATTCACATAGTTTACGTTAATTTTGCATGAATAATTTAAAAATTTGATGTGAGTATATTTATAATATTATACAATTTATTACAATCAGGACACATCATGAAAGTTTTTATCTTTTTCTTAATTTTTAATAACTTTCTAGCTATATAAGTCATTGATGAAAATTTTTTAAATCATTTTAAATTGGTATCTTTTAGAATAAGACTAAAGAAACTAATCAACAAGTTGATCACAGCATCAGCAATTTTAAACTTTTTCTGAAATTTGAAGATTCAAAGAAAGATCCATAAATTGTTCATGTTTATATTCATATTAGGAAATTCTTAATCTAAATCGTAATTATGATTGAAAGAATCAGGAATTACAAATAACTTAACCTTATCCTTATCAAAAAAAGATTTATCATCATCTATAGTTATATCATCATTCAATAGGTAAGAATCTTCTTTATCACTGAAACTGACTTCTAGTTCAGATTCTTCATCTGGTATAATGATAATAGTATGATCATATCATTTGATATTGATTATATCTTCTTCATTTCATTCAAATTTCAATAAGCTATAAAGTAAAAATTTCTTCATCAGACCAATCGTGATTGTTATCAATTATTATAATATTATTAGAATAAAGATTTTGAGAAGAATCAGTTATATTTAATTGAACTTCAACCAAATCTGATCTAGAATATTTTTCTGAAACAAGTATTTAATTTTTTGCTTTTTCTTTGCTATTCTTCATTTTAGTGCAATCTTTTTTTCTCTTCATGTTTTTGTTTTGTCCTTATATCTACAAGTTTACCATTGCATTTTTTACAATAGTAGTGTACTTTTACTCTAATTCTGGTAGTTTTCACTACTGATTGTTTAAAATTTTTTTTAATAATAATAAACGTTTTTACCATAATTAGTATCATTGTATATTATCTTATAATACATTTTGCGGTATATTAAAATTTGTAGATTTAGGTTTAGATTCAGATGATTTATCAGAAATTAAATATTTAAAAGAAATTATTAAACAAGGAAAACTAAGAGAAGACAATATGAAAAAGGAAAAGCAACTATTGATTGAAGTTAACACAGTATAAAATTGGAAAAGAGACCAGAAATCTGCTATCAATAATTAAAAATTACCAAAAAAGAAGCTTCTAGAATATCAGGAAATACATTATAAGATCTAAATCCCGTTATTAGAGATCATTTTTATTTTATAATACCAGATTTTATGTCAGATAAAAAACAAACTTCATCTGTCACTTCTTCAGGACTGCAACCTATGCTCATTACTCCTTCAGGATTATAAATTATGCTTATTGCTCTTTTAGGATTGCAATCTACGTCTGTCATATCTCTAAATTAGCAGTACAAATTTCAAATATTTATTTACCCAGCAGCATATTTTATCATTCTGATATTAGTGATAAAAGTGAAGATAGTAAAAGACTAAAAGATCAGAAGAAATACAAAAAGAAAAAGAATCTAATTTATGAAAGTAGTGAAGAATTTTTTGAATCTGAAGGAGAATCTTCTAGTTCTGAAAGAGAATCTTCTGATTCACAACAAAGATCATTGCATTAATGATCATTATATTAGAAATACTTGACCAGAGGACCTTAAAAATGTCTTAAAGGTGAGTAAATTTATTAATTTATAAATTTTATTTAATTTGTATATTCTATTAATATCATAATTAATTTTATCTAGAGAGAAATTTTTTGGATAATCAAAAGAGTTCCAATTGAAAGCTGATTAGATTTGAATAATACCTTTGATTTATAACGCAATCTTGTCAACAGTATGATCATTCTAACTGTAATATCAACTTTGAATCTTGATATCTTTTTTGTTACAGATTAAAGGTTTGGGCGAAACCTGATAATTACGCCTGATCCGAATCCGAAATCTAGGCGATATTAGTTACGCCTCAACAAAAAATTTCCAAAATGTCCGATTGAGTTCGATACTGCCCAAATCTGAAATTCAATCCGAATTAATTGAAATTCTCTGAAACTTAATTATTCACGTGAAAATCAAATATATAACATTATTGGTAAGACAA